ATAAGATATTCGTTTTCAAATCTTTACTTCGATAAACAAAGGAGAGATCCCTAAACAACCTCTCGATCTACGAATTGGTGGTCCACGAACTAAAGCGTTCCCGGCACAGGCAAAGTCCCACAAAAGCAGGAGTTGATAAACAATTTCTGTGTTATTTTCTCGAGAGTTGTATTTTCTTTTATTTTCATTGTAATTCTTTGTAAACGATCGAAGTTTTAATGGAATCTGTAATGGAAATAACTTTCGCTGAAAACAGGTACCAATCGAAGGCGGGCCCACGAAGGGTGCCAACGAATGACCGGACCATTAAAGCCTCATTTTCAGAGATCATGCTCAAATGAGACTTGAAATAAATCAAGTGCTGAATCGGCGAACTCTTCCCTTCAAACGGTGTGAAGTTAATCAGATTGAACTTTGCCGGGTACGGTATTGAATCCCATTCCCTTGGATAGGGACATGGAATACCCGTCTTCTTAACTTCTTGAGCCGTCATCAAAGCATTGATTTGGAGAATGAGTTAGACCACCCCCTGTAAGAGGTGCCATTGAACCACTCCCAATATCGTTATTGGGAGAATGTGTTAAACCACCCCCAGCGTTATTGCTATTGGGAGGTGTATCGGCCATAATGACTTCATCCACTTCTGGATCACTGACATCCACAACTTTCTGAGTGTGGCGGCTGGATTCAGTTCTTTGACTGGACTCAGGGGATTGAAGCCGGTGAGCTAGCAATTCTCTCATTTGTTGGATAGCTAACTTCATTTTTGTCTTCACTTCAGCTCTAATTTCTTCACGTTGTTTGGCTAGAGCTTCTTGAAGTATTTGAGCAAATTGATCAGAGGTGATCATGAGTACTTCTCTGGTTTGTCCTGTGCTAGACATTGTATCATCAGAAGCAATTGCAGAATAAGTGTCTGAGAATTCATACTCCGAGGACATTCCTTCCTGCATTCTTTTGTAATCTCTGCGTCTGATGGCTCCTAATTGGAGTTGGGACATCCTTTGAGCAATTCTTGGATTGACTTTTCCTTTCGGAGAAAAGTCGGGATTTGAGTCATTTGAATGCCGCTTAGACTTTCTTTTATCAGCCACGTTGATGGTGACTTCAGGGAATTCATCATCTTGGGCAGCTGATTTTCTCTTGCGGAAATGTCTCGGATGGCTTCTCGTTTGAAACAGTCACATTCTGATAATGCTGCTTTAACGAGTCGCGCACAGGAACAACGAGAGTTTATCTCTCGAATAACTCTCTTTCGGAAATTATTCACAACCCTAACTTGATAATACGATTCATCGGTATGATTGCCAAAAAATCGTATTGTCTGTTGGCATGACCTCCCAGGTATGACGATATTATTTGGTGAACGCGTCTTCTTCTGGGGGTATAAAACCTTGTTGGCATTCTCAGGATAATTTATTTTTATCTTTGAGCGATCCAAGATTATGTCGGGAGTCGCACGTCTAAAACCACCCCTTTGCGGGTATGGGGTCTTAACGGGCTCCGAATGCTGATTTTGCATAAGTCCAGACTTTGGAATCCAAACTTGGCGGAGTTTCGGTGGTTCTTTGGTCACCGTTTCTTTCCTCCTTTCTCGTCTTTGTTGTGAGAGAGCATGGACAAGAGCTGTGTTTGCACGACGCTTTTGTATACGTTCTTTGAGGGTCGAACGAGCCCTTTTGACGAGTGTCCATTCCTCCGTCGTGAATTGTGCAGAAACGTGAGTAGTTTGTCGTTGTGTTGAACAAACCACTTGTTGTTTCCTCGACTCTAAGTCCGCGTAATAACGAACTCCGTCGGTTTGTTCAAATGCCTTAGCTATTTGGCGAGCATGGCGCTGACGCTGTCTCTGACGAGCCCTCTTCGTCAGTAGTGAACTTCGATCGAATGACTCCTTAATTGGGGAGGAATTATCTTGAGCAGAGCTGTTGCGAGTAAAGTCCTCAGCAACAAGCGGATGAGAGTCTTCATCCGTAGCATTTGATAACTTTAACGAAGATGAAATCTTCCTGCATTTACGAGGCGCGGAAGACTTTACAGATGAGGATGACAAATACTCCTCAAACTTCGCTTGGTCGAACTCGTACTCGACCGTTGATTCAAACAGGATCTTGATGATTGGCTGCGACACGACGGTCTCGGCAGCGAGACCGTTGGCTCACACTGTGGTCGCCAGTTTGTTTTCGCCAAAAGTCGAATTTGTTGTCGAATTCATTATATCTTCGGTCGATTACAATAAATTCAAAGAAAACAGCCTTTTTATAAGACTCTTTTACACAACAAAAAGAAAATTACAACTCTTGAGAAAATAAACGCAGGATCGTTGTTTGGATCACTGCTTTCGTGGGATCTTTGCCTGTGCCGGGAGCGCTTTGACTCGTGGACCACCAAATCACAGATTCTGATTGAACCGTGAGGGGTTTATGATTCTGACTTCGTTTATCGAAGTGAGAACTTGAAACGATATCTTATCAAGGTAAGATAGTCGTTCTTCTTGAAATCAAGTCAAAGCCTGATTATCAAGGATTGGCCGTAAGATCAGCACCTCTGCTCTCTCTCTGCTCTGGATTGCTCTCAAGTGCTCAAGTAAATGCTGTCTCGGAAACAGTAACCGTCAGGCAGTTTTCGTTTTAACTGCCTTCTCACGTTTCAAACTCCGTTATTTTGGCAGTTATCAACGTGATTCTCGCCCACGACGTTTCCCACGTTCTTGAACAGTTGGTGGCCACGTGTCGGCGGTTACAAAACCAATTTCTGATCTTTTGAAAGCTGTCTCCTATGCGAGACAGCAAAGTCTGTCTCGCACGGCGAGACAGCAAAGGCTGTCTCGCACGGCGAGACAGTCCATACTTGTGTCCTTTTGTTGATTTTTTGGATGATCTTCTCTCCAGCTGTATTTGGATATCTTTCAGCATTTTTTGACGCCTACAATATATATATATAGGGTTTACTATCAATTTTTAGCATCTAAAGATAGTCTAAGTTAATACTACTAAATAAAAGCAATAAGAATTGATTAAAAATATTCGGTTAAGGAATAAAAATTTAAAAAATATTATAGCTTAAAAATTATCGTCACCATATAAATTAAAGCAACTACATAAAATTTTACTAATAAGTTGGAGTAGCAAAACACAGTAGTAATATTAATTGATAGATGTTTAAATCCATAAAAATTATAAAAGATTATAATATAATAGCTCAGCATTAATTGATTATAATTTAGAAATATTAATCTCTGATGTTAATAATATTTATAGGATAAAAGAATACAATGAATTATGTATGGAGAAACTATGAGAATGTTCAGAGATATCCTTCAAAAAAATCAAGCTATTTCCATTGTAAATGGGAAAGTGATGAAAATAAATCTAAAATTCAGAAAACGTTCATGAATCATTTGAATTGGTATTAACATAATTAAGACATGTCTATTAAAGAAGCACCAACTGAGTTACATTGAAGAATAATTTGATAATTCCTTGTATTTTTTACTCTATAAATATTATTAACATCAGAGATGAATGTTTATACATTATAATTAATTAATGCTAACTTATTATATTATAGTCTTTTGTTAGTTTATGAAATTTAGTCTTCTATCAAATAATGTTATTACTAATATTATATGTAGTTCCTTAAATTTATATAGTGATATTATTTTTTAATCTGTCATATATTTTTTAAATTTTTATTCTTTAACTGAATAGTTTTAATCTATCATAATTGTTATTTTTACCAGCGTCAACTTAAACTACTTTTAGATGCTAAAAAGGGATGATAAACTTTAAATTGAAACTTAAATTTATATATCTTAATGAAATACTTTTAGATGCTAAAAAGGGATGATAAACTTTAAATTGAAACTTAAATTTATATATCTTAATGAAATGATATCAAACATTTACTCTTTTTAAATTGAAACTTAAATTTATATATCTTAATGAAATGATATCAAACATTTACTCTTTTCTTTGCCAAAATTTAGCATTTTGTGATTTTAAACTTTTGAGGGTGTGTTTTATAATTTTTTTAAATTTTTTTTAAATTTTATGTTGTGTGCTTGTAATTTTTTTGTTTTATGAGTTGGTGGTAAATTTTCAAATGTTAAGATGTTTCTTTCAACTCTAAAATTTTGAGCGTGTTTTTTACAATTACTAAAACTTTGAGTTGTACAATTTTAGAAATATTGAGGGTATAATTGCAATTTTTAAATTCTTTGGAGACTATTTTTAATTTTTAGATTTCATGTTTGTTGTTTTAAATTTAAAAAAATCAGGGTGTTTTGGGTAATTTTGAACTTTTAAAGATATTTTGTGTGATTTTTGAATTAAATCTTAATCTTATTTTTTTTAAATTGCTAAGCTATAGATAGTTTATGTGTGGTTAATATAGGATATAATTAGTATTTAGATAGACTAAGATTTAAAAAAAATAAAATAATATTTCACATAGTTTGTTAATATTTTTTAAATTGTTGAGCTATAGATAGTTCATATAGGATTAGATAAGATATAATTAGAATTACAAAAGATTAACATTTAAATGTAATATAAAAATAATGAAGAGTAATATTGACCATAGAAATATTTTTCTGAACTCGTGCTTTTAAAGGGAGTATGATATGATATGATATGATATATGATATGATATGATATGATATGAAATGAAATGCTATGAAAAACTACTTTTTAATGAAGAAAAATATATTTCTTCACTAAAATAAATAGTTCTTTTCTTATTATAGTAAAAAAATAAATAGTTCTTAACCAAATAATTTTATTTGCCAAATATTTAATATTAAATCAAATAATGATAATATCCGAGATATAATATAACCCGGCTACAAAGAAATTTAAAGAGCAAAATAAATATTTAGTTAGCAACAAAATCACCAAAGTGTTAGATTCGGTCCGAAGAAATAACATTAAATAAACCGGTCCGATTCGTTCGAATTAAACCGGCTCGTTACAAAAATCTAAAACTGCGTTTAAGGATCTTAAACGCGTAGCGTTCTCTCGACGCCAAAAATAATTAAGCAAATTCCCCCTTTAAATTTAGGCTCTCGTCGTCTCGTTTACTCGTCTCATCCTCATTCGCCCTCCTCTTCATTGTTGCAGAGAGCTAATTTAGGGCTTCATTTTCTCATTTTTAGGGTTTTTTTTTCAATCCTTTGTTCCGTCGCAGGTTTGGGTTTATGTTAAAATTGAGAGGGATCGTACACTCGGGATGGCATTTGGTAATTTCTCTCTCTTGTTTGCTGAATTTTTCTGGGGATTGTGGAATTTTTTTACAATTAGGGGATAATTTTCGTATTTTTAGGGTTTTTACTGTTGAAGGAAAAAATTGGACTGCGGGAAGCTATTTGACATGTATCTTCATCAAGGTACCTTTTCTCAATTCCTCTTATCTTTTTCTACTGAAATTTATTTGGAAACTTTCATGTACTAGTCAAATTTTCTGTTCTCAGCCGCCTTTTTCCTACAGGAATTCGTAGAGGCTTTGGATTCAGGGCAAAGATGAGAAAATGTGAGAAGAATTGTACAATGTAGGTAACATTTGGTACACTTTCTCTGGTTAGCCAATTAGGAAAGTTTTGTTGATGAATTTTCTTTCTTTTGTTTACTTAAGAATCAGGTACGATCAAGGAGAAGTTGGATATCTTCACAAAGGTCAGTTTTTTTTCATTTTCTTTTTCTTTTCTTTTCTCTTTGGCTACCTTTTATCAGTGAGGATTTCACTTAATATGGATTATTATAATTTCAGGCCTGGATTTAAGCAAAGAGCTTTTTTTTTACAAGTTAGTTGCTAATTTAAACTTCACAGAGTGGTGCGGTATGTTCACCTATATCCTTCTTTCTTCTTTGTGCTGTTCTTGTTTCCTGATTTCATTGTGATTTGGCTTTTAATAGACATATTTTTGTTATAGGTGTTTTCGTTATATAATTTCGTTGTTACTCTTTTTGACGCAGGTTGTTTCTTTCTTTACTGGGTGATCGAGGAAAGATGATTTTTTTCAAGATACCATTGGTGAGAATTTGATACCGGGTGGCATTTTCTGACCTTCGTCAAGGTTCCTTTTCCCAATTCTTTTCTTGCAACTATTGATTATTTCTTTGTTCAAAAGTTTAAGTTGGGATTCTTGTTGATTGATTTATGCAGATAGTTAATCAGATATCATAACAGTATTGAAATAATATTCTTGTTCCATTCTCATATTCCACCTCTCTATGTATCTAGCACCCTATCTAGGGTTAATTGCGAATAGACCCCTGTAGTATCATCCAATTGTGAATAGACCCGCAGTAGTTCTATTTGTGGTGAATATATCACATGTAGTATTTCTTGCAACTATTGATTATTTCTTTGTTCAAAAGTTCACATTGGGATTCTTGTTGATTGATTTATACAGATAGTTAATTAGGGATCATATAGTATTTAAATAATATTCTTGTTCTATTCTCATTTTCCACCTCGCTATAAATCGAAGTTAGTATTTAAATAATGTTATTTTAAAGTTTATAAAGTCTCAAACAAAATTCAAAATGAGATTATTTATTTTATATTTTAAAATCACATTGTAAACATTTCAATGTGAAAAGAAATCCCAACTAGAATTCATTTTTTAGCAATAAATAAATAATTAAAATGAAGGAATACTCTGCATTATTGGAAAAGGAGATGATAAAAAAAATCGCTGTCAGTGGATTATTATAGTTTCAGAAATGATTCTGTATCTCAATTTACAGTTTTTTTTGCTGAAGTTGGCTTCCAATGTTCATCTCTGAGAATTCATCAGATAATATCCTTATGCGTATACACTCTGACTTTGATAAGGTGAAGGCCACTCTCAGGGATCGGTGAAGATGAGGGTACAAACTCAAAGCCAATTATCTGATAATTCATCAGATAATATCCTTATGCAGTATCTTTTATGGCCTTATGAGGATTTTTTTTTCTATTTACAGGTCAAGCAGGGTGATGACCGAAATAACCAAGGGTGAAGCAATCAGAAGCCCAACCGAGTTCTATACTTTTCAAGAGAAAGTAGCCGAGATATCCTGCGTTGTATGTATTAGTCTTCTTATTTTCTTGAGGATTTTTGTCTAGCTGATTGATCAGTATGTCTTTGTTTTAGAAAGGAACAGTCCTGGATTTAGGAGGAAGCCAAAGAAGCTTGTTTATAATTGTGTGCACTTTAACCAAGTGCTCTTTTATGAATATGGCAAGAGATTGGGGAAACTATTGGCTGAGTCTTGTGATTTATATTGTAATTGCTATCTGTATAGAGACAATTTACTTCAAACCGGGGTACATTATGCAACTCAATTCTGGTACTATTTTCAAAAGTACGTCATTATTTGAGTCAATATGCCTTATAATTCAAATTAAAGAACTATATAGATCTCTTCATTTGAATATATGAGGGTCACTAATTTTAGATCCTATACTCGACTTTTAGATAAATTCAACTAGTATTACATTTTCAACTGAAATCCTTCAGATTGCTATTTAACACAGGTTTTTCGGAGAGAGGGGTTCAATGGCCCTGATCGTTCGGCTGCATTTGTCATTAGCAGAATCCAATGGCATTGCTTGAAGCATTTTCCATTTTGTCACTACAGGTGCAAATTTAGATCAACCCTTACTTTATCTACCTAGATACTTGATACAGAGTTCCTATTACCTCTTCTTCTTTTTCTGTTAGCAGGCAGGGGCTTTTCTTGGCATTACCAGGGTCGGTTTTGCAATGAAAGTAGGAGCATGACATTATGATAATGTTTCATGGAGAATTGGACCTTTCCAGTGTTTGTTCGAGGATTATCTGACTGTGCGCTGCTGCGGACTAAGGGGGAAGAAGGATGAGGCAATATGTGAAGGTTTCTCAATACTGATCCATTTCTGACAATAAACTGATAAGGTGTTGTTGAAGTATAGTCTAAAAATTCTAATTTTATGATATTGAGATGATTCCTTTTCTAAAAGTATATCTACATTTCAGGCCAGTATTCCATCTTCATTGAATTTTTAAATGAATTAACATTGTAATTAAAAAACATTTATCTACAATGTTCAGTATTATTTACTAAAATTTAGGGTGATAATTCCATCTTCGTTATGCCGTCTCCATTGCTAAATTTTAGGACAGAACATTAAAAATGGAAATTTCTATCTGCAACATGGCTTTAAAGAAGGGGAAAAAGGTTTTTGCAGTTGGATCTTTACAAACTCTGTCAGCATCACAGAACGTGGGTGGAAATTAGGCGTTACACAGAAATCTGAACTGACCAGTTTCTAGTAGTGTTATGAAAATATCAAGAAAATCACCTTAAATATTTGTGACATACATAACAATTTGATGCCTTATTCAATTAAGGAACAGTAAGTTGCAAAATTGCAGTACCAGAACGAGTACTTTGCATAGTTTGTATAATTCCTATCAACTATTAACTTCTCCAGCTCCTTGGTTTATTGTGCTGCTATAATTGATGATTGGATCAACCTTTCTGTGTAATTGTTTGATATAGGTTTCCCTTATCTTGAAAAGAAGGAAATTTGTATTCTTCAGAGGCAGGTGAATCTAGTTTTCTGCTTATTGTGCAGAAAGGATTATACGTCAAGTTTTCTTTTTTAATTTATACAATGTGATTTACATACTTGTACCGTTGATTAGACCATGTATGATTTTTAGTTATATCCATGTTTGGGACAACCTAGTTTCATTGCTCAGTCCTAATTTCTTTCACTACTAGATACTAACAAAGATCTTTCAGGTCTTCTTTCTTATCATATCCAAGTCAATGAAACCAGAATTACTTTCGCGTCTACTTACTACCAAAGATCATTCACGTCTTCTTTCTTATCCTAATTCTTCCTTATGGGTTATCTTTAGTATATGTCATGAGCACTTCTATAGTCAGCTTTTCATAGTGCTGAGCATAAAAGTTCCTGATTATGATGATGTATCTGCTCCTTCATGCTAGTGTTGCCTAACATCTTATTTTCACAAAGTTGGGATGCTAAATTTTATGTATGGTGTTTATTACTTTTCTTTTACAGGACCCTAAGCTTTGGAATTACAGACAATGTCTGAAATGATGATCCGTGCAGTTGCTGATGATGATGTTCGCTTACTGCTAACAATTTATCACAAAATGGAGAAGTTGAATGAAAAATCCACATGGCATCTCGCAGTGCGTGAATCCCTCAACAATAGATGCTTTCTGCATAAGTGATAATAACAATGCAGATTGGCCATCTCTATGCCACCTGCCAGGTCAAATTTCAACTTTGAATTCTAGTTAAGGGGGTGTTTGTTTGCCTGAAAGTGAAAAGTGCAAGTGAAAGTGACTCTTTTAGTGCTTTTGGTGTTTGTTTCATTGAAAATGCATGTGAAAGTTAACTGCAATAACTCGCCACATCAAATTTAATGCAAATTCAACTTCCCCTAAAAATGTACGGATAGCGCATGAAAGTGGGAAAGTAGGGACCACTTTTAACTATAATATTTTTTTCGTTAACTCTTTCATTCTTACCGCTGGTTAAGCAATTTTTTATTTCCGATTCTGTTGACGACATTTAATTTTGGAATATGATCGTTGTTGAAGTTTATTATGTTAGCCCTTAAATGTTTACTTTTTTAAATCAGTCCTCAAATTATTGAAGTTTATGTCAAGTCCTTCAATACTTTATGAATTGTTGCAAAATTAGTCCTTTATTATTGTAATTGCTATTATGTCCTTGAGTGATTAATGATTATGTATTGTTTCAAATTAATTCCTTTACTCAAGGGTAGTAGTAACACAGTATAAGATTCAAGGGATGATACGAGTTGCCGTGCGAGCACCCTTTAGTCGCGGAATTACCAAAAAGGTGGGTTGAGAAGAGGACGACCAAAACACAAGAACAATTCAGTTTGGCAAAGGAAAATACCTTCTCTAGCTTATGAAGAACAAAAGATTACAATCTCTCCCTCACAATCTCACTCTAGAATTAAAGAACAAGCTCTCCAAATCTTAATCTAGAATCTAATCTCTCTTGATTAAACTCTCTGATCTAAAAGATCTCATAGAACCTTACAATCTAAACCCTAATCCTTTTGATTAGGATCTCACTTAGATCTAAAACTCTTTAGATCTACATCTTGGCCTCTAACCTCCTGTTTAGAACCCTAAACAGTCCCTATTTATAGGGTTTACAACGTGGTGACAATCTGGTAAATAACCAAAACCAAACTCAACTAGAATTCCTTCAAAACAGAAACCGAGTCTGCCCAGGAAACTTCGATGAGTCGACTCATGACTGCATATGAGTCGACTCATGACTGATGAGTCGACCCATAAGCTGATGAGTCGACTGAGCAGAAGCTTTTGACAAAACGGCTGGGTTTCGTGAGTCGACTCATGACAGGCATGAGTCGACTCAACCTGATGAGTCGACTCATGTACATGTATGAGTCGACTCACGAGCTGAAATCTGGATTCTTCGAATCTGCTGCTCGTCGTCTCGTTCCACGCTTCCACCTGTGTTTCGCCGTGTCGCTTCACACCACTATTCTCAAGATATCATGAGAATCACCTATCCTCAAGCTCCCATGAGGATCACTTTTTCGAAGAAAAGATACACCCGTATCATGGGTCCCCCTTTTAGAAACTTGAAGTCCCATTCAAGTTAGAACTTTAGCTGAGGAAACTCTCGAGCCTCTCCATCTTTGTTGACTTCAGTCATCTTCTTCTTCCTTCTTCTCTGAACTCCTTCCAAAGAAAAGGATCTCGCTAAGCTTCTTGTATTGCGATCGAGTCAGGACCATACACAGGATGCCCTTTCACCGGATCTGATGTTCTGATACCAACTTGATACGAGTTGCCGTACGAGCATCCTTTGGTCGCGGAATTACCAAAAGGTGGGTTGAGAAGAGGACGACCAAAACACAAGAACAATTCAGTTTGACGAAGGAAAATACATTTTCTAGATTATGAAGAACAAAAGATTATAATTTCTCCCTCACAATCTCACTCTAGAATTGAAGAACAAGCTCTCCAAATCTCAATCTAGAATCTAATCTCTCTTGATTAAACTCTCTGACAGTGTTGTAAATAGCGGGGAATAGCGGCGCTATAGCACCGCTATTCGCGGAAGCGGAGGAGAACCGCTCCGCTTAAGGTTCTCGCGGCACATCTACGCGGGGAAAACCGCTTTTCCCTCGAAAAGCGTCTTAATGCGCGCAAATAGCGCTGTTTAGCGCTTAAAAGCGCTGTTTAGCGCTCAAAAGCGCTTAAAAACGCTAAACAGCGCTATTTAGTTCGGCTAAAAATCCTACCCGAACCCGAAACCGACCCGAATGTATATTAACCCCCCCTCTCTCGCTCTCGCCTCTGTATCCCAAGTCCCGATCCAAGCCCTAACCGCCTCCTCTCATCGCATCCCACCGCCGGCGACGACTTCCAGCGCCGTCAACGCCACCACCGACGACGACTTCCATCGCCGACTCCCGCACCAACAGCGACGATTCTCTCTCTCTCTCTCACTTCCTCGTCTCTCGTTCACTGTGACCTGTCTCTCCGGTCAAGCCAACACCATCAACAGTGACGGATGATTTCTCGTGAGTTTTTTCGTCTCCTTCCTGTTATAAACCCTAAACGTCGGATTTTCCTCCCCTTGTTCTCTTATTTGTTGAATTGATCGACTTTCAGATCCTTAGAAGAGCTTTTTTTACTGTTTCATACTCTTTCTGAGGTTGAATCACATGGGAAAGCTGCGGTGGCGGGGTGACGACGACAATCTCCGCTTTCATGTGGTTGGTTCTGGGATGTAGGCCTCATCTTGGGCCGGTGAGGTTGCTGCTACTATTTTAGCCTAATTCTGATGGAAAAATGAGGTGCTGAATTTAAGTCATTTATCTATACTTGAATATTTTACAAAGTCTGATCTTTCTTATTATTTAAATATTGTTGTTTATGCTACTATTTTAGTCACTAAAAATGAAGTGCTGCTTTTTTATATGACTTTCTTCTTATTTAAATATTTAGCATATTTAAATATATTTATATTTGACCGCTATTTGATTGTGCGCTATTTGCCGCTATTTCGCCGCAATAGCCCGCAATAGCCTTAGCGGTACCTCGCCGCGACGCGACGCGATCCGCTATCAGCAACCTTGCTCTCTGATCTAAAAGATCTCATAGAACCTTACAATCTAAACCCTAATCCTTTTGATTAAGATCTTACTTAGACCTAAAACTCTTTAGATCTACATCTTGGCCTCTAACCTCCTGTTTAGAACCCTAAACAGTCATTATTATAGGGTTTACAACGTGGTGGCAATTTGATAAATAACCAAAACCAAACCCAACTAGAATTCCTTCAAAATAGAAACCGAGTCTGCCCAGGAAACCTCGATGAGTTGACTCATGACTGATGAGTCGACTCATAAGCTGATGAGTCGACTGAGCAGAAGCTTTTGACAAAACGGCTGGGTTTCGTGAGTCGACTCATGACAGGCATGAGTCGACTCAACCTGATGAGTCGACTCATGTACATGTATGAGTCGACTCACGAGCTGAAATCTGGATTCTTCGAATCTGCTGCTCGCCGTCTCGTTTCACGCTTCCACCTGTGCTCCGCCGTGTCGCTTCACACCACTATTCTCAAGATATCATGAGAATCACCTATCCTCAAGCTCCTACGAGGATCACTTTTCCGAAGAAAAGATACACCCGTATCAATGGACCTAATCGCAAATTGGGGGACTGGTTCCAAAATGTAAAAACTTTAAGTGACTATTATAAGAAAACTTATTTTTTAATGGAGGATGCATTCTATAGTTATCGATTTAATTTCTTAAGGATTTTGCATGATTTATTTAAAACAACTATATTAAATTTTGTATTTTGCTTCTAATCTTTCTAGACGTTTATTTTTAACATGATGGGCGAATACATTCAATCATAGTTGCCAAAAAAATATTTTTTTAGGATCAGTTACCAAAAAATATTTAAAATATGATATAATTTAAATAAGTAAATTAATTGCTACATCATCTTCACTTTTCTACTTTCTAACAATAATTTTTTTTGTACAAAACTACAAACATTGTATTTCACTTGCATGCTGACGTGGATACAATTTCTCATTTGCAAAAAAAGTAACTTTCACACTTCTAATTCACTATCAATTTGCCAGACACCCCCTAAATGTCAAAGAAGCAATGTTTGTACATCATTATCCTTTGCTATTATAAGCTATGCATGTTTTTCTAAAATAGAACTGATATCTGACTTTATATTGATTTAGATAGTTTGGTGGTGAAATAATTTACTTGTTTAAGTGGTTGTAAGTTGGTAGTTTCTGTTTCTTTCATAAATCAGTTTGTGAACAAAGTTGTGTATAATCCAATCTAACATTCTAGGCATTCTGTTTGCTCAAACTATATTGACTTATGTTGAAAATGAAGAATTCTTCGGTTCTTTTTTGTTATAACTTTGACTTGCAACATTTGACCCTAGGATCCTCATCTCTGTTGTAACATATGCATCCTTTTCTTATTTTCACCTTCCATTTTAGTCTAGAAAAATTAGGATGGGTAAAATGGAAAGGTGTTCTAGATTCCTATTTAACCATAGCTAGCTGTGACATTGAAGAAAAAAAATATAATTCTATAGTAATATTGTAAGACCAACAACGCTTTATGGGTCATTATATTATAGGGTTTTTTATTTCTAGGCCCATTTGTTTACTCATCTTTACCTCTAAGCCCAATAACTATTCTTTGTTATTTCTAGGCCCATTTGTTTACTCATCTTTACCTCTAAGCCCAATAACTATTCTTTGTATTCTTAAACCCAAGTTTCTTTTTGTTTTTGCCTTTAAACCCAATTTCTAAAATACTGTATATACAACAATGGTATTCATACCCAAACATAATAAAAACCCTAAAATACCCTTCAATACCCCCACTTAAACCAGACCCCCCTCTCTCTCTCCTCATTTTCCTTCTTCCTCAGGTCTTCGTCTTCCTCCTTCCTCAAGGCTTTGTCTTCCTCCTCCGATCCCACCTCTCATGCCCCCTCTAAGAAATCGAAGAAGAAAGGAAGAAAGGCCCATGATTTTAGTGCTTAATGTCTTGAAAAGGCCCACGACGGATCTCGAGGCAGCCGGACACAGCTCCACCCTCTCCAACAAGACACTACAATTCTTCAACGATCAACAAGATGCTTGATGATTTTGGCTTCGGGATCCCTTTCGATGACGAGGAGGAGTGATTTCGTGTGAAATCTCATTTCTATATACTCGATTAGGGTTAGGGTCAGGGTCGGGGTCATGGTTAGGGGGTTAGGGTTAGTTCATTGATGTTCTTTTGTGCTATCCCTTTTTGTTGAACTAAATCTAATTGTAGAATTGGTTTTATCAATTTATGAATGTATCGTTTCTGTTGAACTAAATCTAATTTGTACACAATAGATTTTCAAAGCAAGAGGTGTGAAATCTGGAGAATCTGGAATTTTGTACCTGTAAATTTTGCTTATAAAGAGTTGGAGAGTATGGAGCTTGCTTTGAAGATTGTGAAAGAGAAATTGCTGGGTAGAGTTAATGGAGTCAGTTATGCTATATGTACATTTTGAAGATTTGTGTAATTTTGAAGATTTGTAACATTTTGTAAAGTCTGGAGCTTGCCTTGAATATAATATCAGTTATATTATGTACATTTTAAAGATTTGTAACATTTTTGAAAGCCTGGAGCTTGCCTTGAATATATTATCAGTTATGCTATGTTTTTTGTGAAGATTTGTAACATTTTAAAAACTCTAGAGCTTGCCTTGAATATATGATTAGTTATGCTAAGTATATTTTGAAGATTTGTGTAATTTTGGAGTTTGATTTGTAACATATTGTTTCAGATTGTAAGTTTTTGAAAGTAGATAATGAAAGTGTTGTTAGTGCAATATCGTTATTGTTTGTGCAATTTTGGAGTTTGTAAGACTGGAATTTTGTGCAATTTTGTGAGTGCTATTTTGTGGAATTTTGTGTAATTTTATGAGTGTTATTTTGTTCTTGTGCAATTTTGTGAGTGCAACCAAGTGTGATAAACTGCAGATCTCTTTGATTGTAAGTGTAGCGTGATAAATTCAAAGTGTAGCGTGATAACCTGTAAGTGTAGCGTGGTAGACTGTAAGTGTAGCGTGATAGACTGAAATTGTAGCGTGGTAGACTGTAAGTGTAGCATGGTAGACTGTACAGGATAACACGCTACACTTACAGGATAACCCGCTACACTTACAGTCTAACCCGCTACACTTACAGCATAACACGCTACACTTACGGTCTAACCCGCTACACTTACAGCATAACACGCTACACTTACAGTCTAACACGCTACATTTACAGGATAACATGCTACACTTACAGGATAACCCGCTACACTTATAGTCTAATCCGCTACACTTACAGCATAACACGCTACACTTACGGTCTAACCTGCTACACTTACAGGATAACAAGGTACACTTACAGCATAACACGCTACACTTACAGTTTAACACGCTACACTTACAGTCTAACACGCTACACTTACAGGATAACCCGTTACACTTACAGCATAACACGCTACACTTACAGGATAACACGCTACACTTACAGGATAACCCGTTACACTTACAGGATAACCCGTTACACTTACAACATAACACGCCACACTTACAGTCTAACACGCTATACTTACAGCATAACACGCTACACTTACAGTCTAACACGCTATACTTACAGAATAACCCGCTACACTTACAGTCTAACACACTACACTTACTGCATAACACGCTACACTTACAGGATAACCCGCTACACTTACAGCATAACGCGCTACACTTACAGGATAACACGCTACACTTACAGCATAACACACTACACTTACAGGATAACACTTAACGCGCTACACTTACAGGATAACACGCTACACTTACAGCATAACACACTACACTTACAGGATAACACTACACTTACAGGATAACACGCTACACTTACAGGATAACACGCTATACTTACAGCATAACACGCTATACTTACAGATAACACGCTACACTTACAGTCTAACACGCTACACTTACAGCATAACACGCTACACTTACGATCTAACCCGCTACACTTACAGCATAACACGCTACACTTACAGTCTAACCCGCTACACTTAAAGTCTAACCCGCTACACTTAAAGTCTAACCCGCTACACTTACAGGATAACCCGCTATATTTGCAGTGTAACACGCTACACTTACAGGATAATCCGGTATACTTACAAATAACCCGTTACACTTGCAGTGTAACACGCTACACTTACAAATAACCCGCTACATTTATAGATAAGTGTAGCGTGTTATGCTGTAAGTATAGCGTGTTATCCTGTAAGTGTAGCGTGTTATGCTGTAAGTGTAGCGTCTTATCCTGTAAGTATAGCGTGCTATGCTGTAAGTGTAGCGTGTTATCCTGTAAGTGTAGCGGGTTATGCTGTAAGTGTAGCGTGTTATCCTGTAAGTGTAGCGTGTTATGCTGTAATTGTAGCGGGTTATCCTGTAAGTGTAGCGTGTTAGACTGTAAGTATAGCGTGTTATCCTGTAAGTGTAGCGAGTTATTCTTTAAGTGTAGCGTGTTATGCTGTAAGTGTAACGTGTTAGACTGTAAGTGTAGCGTGTTATGCTGTAAGTGTAGCGGATTATCCTGTAAGTGTAGCGTGTTATCCTGTAAGTGTAGCATGTTATGCTGTAAGTGTAACGGGTTATCCTATAAGTGTAGCGTGTTAGACTGTAAGTGTAGCGTGTTATGCTGTAAGTGTAGCGGGTTAGACCGTAAGTGTAGCGGGTTATCCTGTAAGTGTAGCGGGTTATCCTGTAAGTGTAGCGGGTTATCCTGTAAGTGTAGCAGGTTATCCTGTAAGTGTAGCGTGTTATCCTGTACAGTCTACCATGCTACACTTACAGTCTACCACGCTACACTTACAGGTTATCACGCTACACTTTGAATTTATCACGCTACACTTACAATCAAAGAGATCTGCAGTTTATCACACTTGGTTGCACTCACAAAATTGCACAAGAACAAAATAACACTCATAAAATTACACAAAATTCCACAAAATAGCACTCACAAAATTGCACAAAATTCCAGTCTTACAAACTCCAAAATTGCACAAACAATAACGATATTGCACTAACAACACTTTCATTATCTACTTTCAAAAACTTACAATCTGAAACAATATGTTACAAATCAAACTCCAAAATTACACAAATCTTCAAAATATACTTAGCATAACTAATCATATATTCAAGGCAAGCTCTAGACTTTTTAAAATGTTACAAATCTTCACAAAAAACATAGCATAACTGATCATATATTCAAGGCAAGCTCCAGGCTTTCAAAAATGTTACAAATCTTCAAAATGTACATAATATAACTGATATTATATTCAAGGCAAGCTCCAGACTTTACAAAATGTTACAAATCTTCAAAATTGCACAAATCTTCAAAATGTACATATAGCATAACTGACTCCATTAACTCTACCCAGCAATTTCTCTTTCACAATCTTCAAAGCAAGCTCCATACTCTCCAACTCTTTATAAGCAAAATTTACAGGTACAAAATTCCAGATTCTCCAGATTTCACACCTCTTGCTTTGCAAATCTATTGTGTACAAATTAGATTTAGTTCAACAGAAACGATACATTCATAAATTGATAAAACCAATTCTACAATTAGATTTAGTTCAACAAAAAGGGATAGCACAAAAGAACATCAATGAACTAACCCTAACCCCCCAACCCCGACCCCGACCCTAACCCTAATCGAGTATATAGAAATGAGATTTCACACGAAATCACTCCTCCTCGTCATCGAAAGAGATCCCGAAGCCAAAATCATCAAGCATCTTGTTGATCGTTGAAGAATTGTAGTGTCTCGTTGGAGAGGGTGGAGGTGTGTCCGGCTGCCTCGAGATCCGTCGTGGGCCTTTTCAAGACATCAAGCACTAAAATCATGGGCCTTTCTTCCTTTCTTCTTCGATTTCTTGGAGGGGGCATGAGAGGTGGGATCGGAGGAGGAAGACAAAGCCTTGAGGAAGGAGGAAGACGAAGACCTGAGGAAGAAGGAAAATGAGGAGAGAGAGAGAGGGGGGGTCTGGTTTAAGTGGGAGTATTGAAGGGTATTTTAGGGTTTTTATCATGTTTGGATATGAATACCAGTGTTGTATATACAGTATTTTGGGTATTTTAGGGTTTTTATCATGTTTGGATATGAATACCAGTGTTGTATATACAGTATTTTAGAAATTGGGTTTAAAGGCAAAAACAAAAAGAAACTTGGGTTTAAGAATACAAAGAATAGTTATTGGGCTTAGAGGTAAAGATGAGTAAACAAATGGGCCTAGAAATAAAAAACACTATATTATATTGGCTGTTAAGGAGTGACGTGTCCAAAAATTGAGTGTAGCAGAAATGAGAATTTCATGATAGACTTTTAATACATGCTAAGAGATTGAATAAGAAATAAGTGCATATGCAATGGAGGCCACTAAATGCACCAATTAGTTGAAATGATAAGAAAATAGTTAACAAGGGCAAGAGGACTAGAGGTAGGCCTAAGAGAACATGGTTGGAAGCATTAATAAGGATATGGACCATATGGTAAACAATTAACTTGATGAAGGAGTTAGCCCTTAACTTTTATGAGAGAACATGATTCATGTAGCTGACCCTGGAACTTTGGGATTAGGGCCTAGTTGTGTTTTAGTATGGAAAAATAAGACATGGTTGAACTTGAACCACAACTATTCATATATTGTGGCTTTGTCAAATGAACTTCTAGTTTGCCAAAACAAATCCTGCAGACTCCCTTGCTTCTGCCACCTTCCATTCTTTTTCACTATTAGGTGGTATAGTATAGAAAATTTATCATGGGTTGAAAAGGGAGAAGAGGAGTAGGCTGATGTTGGAGATAGCAGAATCAGATTAAAATGAGAGTTGTGGCCTTTTTGAGCCAAGTTTGTGATACTAGGGCTTGTGGCAAAAAGAGCTAACCTCAATTAGCTAATTGACGACGGGATTAATGTTAGAGGTAATAATAATTCATGAGTTTCAGTTAAGCTCTCTGGGTTGAAGGTGGAGAAAAGAGTCTTAGCACCGGTCAGGGTCCGGGTTCACATACTCTGAGAAGTTGGGACATCACCCCACCAATATTGTCTATAAGGTCAGCTAGAAGCAACAAATCTGAGTCCGGACTAAGTATGTTAGAGCTGAAGTTCGTGTATCAAACTAAACTAGTAAAACTGCCAATAGTATTCTTGAATCTAATACTGATGTTCTCACAACATGTATAATGCTATGTACTCCCTTAAAAGTGGATGCTTGTGTTTGGATAAGCTTGGATTTACTGAATATATAGTGAAGTTCTAGGCGATGAGAGCTGATTAGTCTCTCAATTCTCATGATGGATGATAAACTACGACCTTCTGAGGATATAGCTTTTCTTTCTATTTGGAATATTCCAAGCTTCCAGGTGAAACTGTTTTTGCCTCAAAACTCAAACTCTCAAAGTTGGAGATTGAGAAGCAAAAATATAATCAAAGCTAGCTGTCAGTCATCCTAGTGACTTCTACCTTCAATCCACTTTCCTTCTTTTTCATAGGTTGGTCATATGGCTTCTGTATCATTGAGCCTAAAAGCCATAGTATTTTCAGAAAATTAACATTTCTGGATAGTCTGCACATTTATTTGCCTTTGAATGGCATTGGTTCTGAAAGTAAATACTATGATGCATCGAATTTTTAGAGTGTCAACCATATATGTTAAGGTACATACAGTACTTGATCCGGTGGGTCACCCGAACGAAGAACCAAACACAATAAGCTAGCTGATCCTCAAATTAGAATTCGGCGTTGTAACTAGTTCAATACATAACATTGGCTCTTAGTTATGGAACATTTTCCATCAGATTGAGGTAAACAACCTATATTGTGCTAATATGGGTGCACGTGTTGAATACAGTAGAATATGAAGAGACAGAGCATAAAATTCCTGAAAGCACTAGTATAGATTACAAAAAATAAATGAATACTTTTAATGTTTATTAGAGTTAAATTCTTTCAGCGGTTTCTTGGTTATTGTTATTATTATTATTATTTAGGGAATTTATGGAGTATT